ACACCTACGGCGACACCTTATTCATTTGGCAGGTCTTCTGCTCGATTGGAATAACTTTTCCTATGACTTTGACAGATAATCGTTTGTTCCAATTTTGACATATCGTCTCTTTATAAATTCAGGCTCTGTAGTTCTGATATCATTTTTTCCTAAGTTCAAAATGGCGCGCTTTGAAGTTGTGAACGGGCGAGTTTTTCCGCAGTGAATCTAAAATTAGTTTTAAGAAGCCCGAATAAACATGTATTATAAAGCTATTATACCATTCATCATTTTATGATTATTCAAGCAAATAATATGATGATACATGTTATCTTGCAGGAACTGTAAACCTAAGATAAAATGGATCATATCGATGATAAATGTTATGATAAAACAAGATCTTACCATTACCTTAATAGGTCGTTAAGTATAGTTACCATACAAAAAACCACTTTTTTTCGAACAAAATGTTCGCGAAAGTATTCAGGAAACAATCGTTGTATAATCTTATTTTCTTCTGTTATATTATAACATGTATCGTTCCATACTGGTAAAATTAAAAGAAATGTGTATGTACCGTGGCTATATCCGTTATTACTATTGAATAATAATATATAATAACAAAACTATAACGGGTATAATTTTGGGATAGTAATATTATAAGGAATTTATAATCATGACGATACCCGTTATAATTATCGGAAAATAATGAATAATAATTATAACAATCTTTCAACCCAAATAAAATAAAAAAATAACATTATTGAAATTGATTTTAGCTTTATTTTCTGCTCGTTGTGCGGTTTTTTATGATAAACATAGAAAAAAAAATTATATAACAAAAACAAGTTAAAAAACCATCGAGATTCTCGTTGAAAAAAAAAACCAAGTAAGATGAGTAAAATTAAATTAAATGCAGATTAATTTCTGCACACTTTCTTCAAATTGGAGATCTTTTGCGCGATAAAGCGCTTGATGGTTCTTTCGTCCGAGGCCGTTCGAATTGTAGCGGCATTCTCAGGGCCTACCCGAATAGCGGTTCTTTCAGCAACTTTATCTGTGGATAAACATTAAAAAATTATATTAGTCTGATGATCCATTCAAGCAATTCTTTCTTAACACATGCGTACCCAACCTTTTCAGCTTCGTCATTTATAGACTGACTTCGATTAAACAGCATCCAATCGAATGGAAATCATCTCTTGTTACCTCTAATTTATATTGATTTAGCTTATTTTTCCTTATTTAATTGTTTTTTAATTCTTGGTTTCAAATCGATTAAAAAAACAACAAACAAGAATGAAGCATAACCATCACAAAATCTAAAACAAGAGACAATTCCCGATCGATTGGAAGTTATTTTATCAAAGTTGGTCTAATAATGACGAAATTAGAGCCAAGATTGATTCTTTAGGCGGAAAAGGTTTGGCACGTATGGGTTACTTAATAAATATCGGTACAGTTGAAAACCGGAAAAATATACTAGTGACAGTTGATTTTATTCTTCATTTATATGTACTTATACACAATGTCGGGAATAGTGCGCTGTAATCGTACAATGATGCGCTATACAGTGCAATACTTCCGACACTATTTATAACGTACAGAAAAAGAGTAAAATCGAATGTTTTATCGATCTGTTTGCTGAACATAGCTTGGAAAGTATTTACATGGCCGCGGGGATGCAAAAAGAAAGTCGACAAATATAATCTGTCAATGTTACTTAGGACCTAACGCAATGTTCAACTTGAATTAGTTGAAGTGAATAAATAATTTTGTTTTATATTCCAATCGGACCCACGACTATAATTCTAGATAGAGCTATAATTAAGGCGTATCAACCTTTCTAAACAATGACTTCTCTCGATGATTTATAGGAACTTAAGACACGACCATACAAACCAACATATCCATCGGATAGGGGAACTCTTCCCATACTCGTTGGTGATGTTGATTTTCCAGCAAGAACCATGACTTTCGAGAAATAATCGAGAGCTGTTACGCCCTAATTCCAGCTCTATCTAAAATTATATGCATTAACCAAGGGGTAAGTCACTCGGCACAGCTGCTATTGTATTAACGCTATTTACAGTGTGCCGCATTCTTCCGGTATTGTGCCGAACGATTATATTTGTACCCTGATTTGTGCCTTTATATATTTGAAGTGTATGAGTGGTCAAATACAAATTGATCGGGTATATCTGGCAACACTGCTTCTGTAAGGAAGATATTGACAGCTGTTTATTTACTAAAGGCCTGTATAGAGATCGAAGCGAAGCGAAAAATTCATACAAAATACTAAATTTTTCACCTGCGTGAAAAACGCAATTGGCAAATATTTCGCTTCGCTTTGAACTGTAAACAGATACGATCCAGCGAAATCTATTGTTGTGGATCGCATCTTTTTCGCTTACGTTTATTTTTTTTTCGCGCATGCAGCGCTCGCGAAAAGAACAGCAGCTAAGCGAAAAGTTGACGTTTCGGGAGAGCGTGTCTGTCAGATTTTCACTTCACCGGAGGTGTAAACTGATCGATTTCGTTTCACATGAACTGTAAACTGCGAAAAAAGGAAACTGGAAAATGTTCCACAAACATTTTTTCACAACCTTTTTCGCTAGCGAAATTTCATGATTTTTCGCGTGCTTCAAATTTCGTTTCGCTTCGATCTGTATACTAGGCTTAAGTACAAATTCGCTTCAAGATTCGCTCAGTCGGTGGAAATCGTTGGCCTTGAATCTTGTTAAGGAAGTGAAAGAGTCGTTTTTTCTGTAATCGTACGTACTACCGCATTTGTTCATCCTCATCTGATAAGCTAATCCGTATATTTTTATCTAGATTTTCTCACGAATTTCTTCAAATTTCCTGCAGCACACAAATCATATGTGAAGGAACGGTGGAGACAACGAAAGTAATCGGGCTTCGATCCGACCCATCAGCACCGGATCAAACTGATCGGTTGAATTTTGCTGCTGGAAAATTTCCTGCTGGAAACCTCGAAAAAGTAATTCTTCTGCCAGAACGACTGCTACAAGATGGGATCGAGCTGTATGCAAGGTTGGCACATCCTTATGGAGGACTCGCACAAGCGCTACCGGTTTCGGGACGATGTGAAGATGGCTCTGCGACGTGGCTTTCTGGACATTGACGAGGCTATGCTGAACGACAAATCGCTGAATGAACAGATAGCCGGATCGACGGTGGTCACCGTTATGATAAAGAACGATAGGTTCTACTGAGTGTGCTAGGGATTCGCGGGCGATCGTGTGCATAAACCAGAAGCTTGATGTGCTTTCGATCGATCACAATCCGAAAAATACCAGTGAGTTGGAGAGGATAAAACGTGACGGAGGTAACGTTGAGTATAATAGGGGGCTATCCATATACCACATTGACAGCTCATGGGATGGGTGGTGGAGTTTATCGAATGTCCCGGTCCTTACAAATTAAAAAAAAATTAGATGGATGATTGTCTTCGCAGCAGGAGAAGGTATCTAAAACCTGTCATAACGTGTCCACGTGAAATATGGACAGCCCCTAGAGTGAATCAGGGCATTGTGGGCATATCCGAATGTGAAAAAAACCGAGTGGCTAGCGAGGGTTTTATGTTTATGTGACATAATTTGGGACGTACTTCCGATCCAATTGAAGAAGAAGTATACATAATAATAGACGAAGAAAACTTTCCTTATAGTGATAGCTTATTGTATTTTATATTTAATCATATGTGCGTAGGTACGACAATGTATCATCCGACAGCGAAAGCTTGTTGCTCGGCGCTTTGATGTGCGTAATATAGTGGTCAATATCCGATGGTTTTTATTGTTCAATACTAATCCTCCAGCTTGGGATATTGAATAAAAATTTCCTAAGAGAAAGATTCCCCTTCGCTCCACATTCGTTGGGCATTCTCTAGGAACAGTGGTAAGTGGACAATTTTTAGATTTTTCTGCAGATAAAAAAGGTATTAGCAAATATCCTATGTGCGTCAGCTATATTTACCTCTCTGGTATTGAAAGTTAGTTACATGACAAACTATGCGACCATGTAGTGCTATCCAATCTCCGATAGTTACATATTTCATGCTGCATGCAGTTAGCGTTAACTGATCCTGTTGGTGCAATCATTCTAATACGATGAAACCGTCTCAAGCGGTCGTTTGATCTTTTAAAACGACCTGATGACAGCATCCAAAGCATTGTCGATTTTTTTATGCTCATATTTTTACCGTTTACTCCTTTTACGTGGAATACGTTACGATTATTACCGGAAGAGCATTGGCGTAAAAGTAGTTCTCCACCAGCGTTAGCAAATATCGTTTCAGCATCTTCAATTATGTGTTCTCCTATTTCATTTTCATTTGAAGAGCTTTCTTCAACTGCAGAACCTGCGGTACTCTTATTTGCAGTTTCATTGACTTCGTATTTATCTGAAATATTATCGAGAAAATCACCTACACAAACTTTTCAATATGTAACTGTGTTTTACCTTCGCATTCTATGTTAATGAAATCACTGTTCTTAATTGAAACAAATTCAAATTCGGCTTCAGTTTTAGAATTTATAATTGTCATACTTTCCCCGAAATCAATATCTTCCTGTTCAACACCTAGATGGTTTAACAAATGTATTGCATCGTTTGCAGCTTTCTCGATAGCTTGGCGGATTTGGATATCATTTGGAAGGTCATGGATCGGCGTTTTCTGTGATTTCAGCTGTTTCTTCTGCAAGCACGGAAAGTTTAGCTCTGTTTTTCTACGATGCACGATGAATAATTTCATTTGAACTTTTTGCATGCGCTGCTCGACTTCTTTCATGGTGAAATTAACTGCGGTGTGATTAACAGTTGTCATTGACCGAAGCTCACGAAATGCAGTTTCACATGGTTGACTTGATAAATGATTGATAATGAATTGTTCACTTCTATTGGCTTTCCGGCATCTGACAACGAATTTTATTAAGCCATGCGCATTTAATTCTAAACAATGATACACATTTGATGTAGGGCACTGTTTTAGTGTTTTCTGATGCTTTAAGCAAATTCGTCGCCATGCACGAACAAATAATAAGGTAGTCCTGTAGAAAGAAGTTAGTTGAAACATATTTGTGTCATACTGGGTATCATCATTTTGTAACAAACCATATTGAAGTTATGCGTTCTGTAGGAGACATTTGTTGATCGTTAAATGCTAAATAAGCATTACGCATTATTCGTAAATATGTAGCTGTTCCGATACTGCCAGGTACCACTGTGGTTAAATGATCAATTAGATTCAACGACATAAGTTTCATTGACGGATCAAATTTCATTCGGTCCGCCGCATTCAAATCAGAAGGATTTAGTTTGTGTATAACTTTTTGTCCGTTTTCCATCATTTGTTTGAGGACTGCAGACGAAATTACATAGTCACCTGAAGTCGAAGATATAAATTATTAATTATATAAAAATTGTGATGAGAACAAGAATAAGAAGCATCTTTACCTAAACGCATTTGTTTTTTGGGGTCTAACAAGGTATGACGAAATTTGTTGACTAGGTGAATACTATCCTGAATGCAGATTGGTTTATCATCCATATCTATGACAAAGTGAAGGCCGTATGATTCGCTTGGACATCCATTTGGTATTTTTGTTCTTTGTCGCATGCCAACGGTTATGCCAACTTTCAGCAATTCAGTTTCTATAAATGCCCACCTCGACATAACTTGGTCATGTGTAAATCTGTTATCACTGCACGTGTACAGCACGCAAAATGGCGATGCTCCGACAGCCATTGGTGTTGCTAATACAACATATAAGTATTCACCAACAGAAAAACGATCAAGATCGTTTATGATCTTTTTGATTGAACTGGCTTTGAAAACATCTTGTTCAGGCATACCAAACTTGTTTAAAGGAGCCACTAGGCCACGAATTGCATCATTTCTTGAATCATATTCCGGGTTTGGTGAAAGGGTTGTTCCATCTTCACTCAAAGCTACTACTAATGGATAGTTGTGCGCATTTAGATACTTAAGCAGGGGCATCACCATTAAGACTCCTTCTTGAGTTTCTGTAGTGTGCCTTGCGATATGTCGTTTTATTGTTTTTGAACTAGGAAGCTGCATGTTTGCTCTTTTAAATTGATAACTGCTGTTTCCAGCAGTCATCAATTCATAGGCAGCTGCATCGAGCTCAGATTCTGTATACCGCATTCCACGTGGCATACACAATTTTGACCGTGCATTCAGCTCAACGTGAAGATCAAGAAGTGGACTTGACTTTTTTCTTCTGTCGGTCGCTTTGTTTGTTGTGTTGAGACGTTCGACCGGTTCGTCCCAACAACTTAGTTTTCCGCAAGGTTTTCCGAGTAATCTGCAGATCCTGTCAATTGATCATCATAAGAAAGCATAACTAAAATTTGTGAATTAAATTATTACTTTCGACCGTTGCATTGTTCTCATGCTCGTCTTGGTTCATGTGTTCTTCTATGCTCTCGTGCTCTATTGAGTCCTCGTCAAGGTCCTCGTACACTTCTTTCTCCTCGCGCTCTTTTTTGTCCTCGTACTCTTCTGTGAACCACTTTTTAAATACAAACCTTGTATTTAAAAAGTAACTGAAAATGTTATAGTAATGACACGATTTTGTCAGCCCTTTCACGCATCAGACTTTTATCTTTCAATAATTTAACTTAACCGTAATTAAAAATCTTTGTCATTCATTGTCAAGATAGATAAATAAGGTATATTGTGATGCAATATAGCTATCTTATTGCATCACAATATACCTTATTTATCTATCTTGAAGATGAAATGAAAAGAAGTTAAAAGTACATGAGTTTTTTAGAATATTAGACAAGATCGGATTCTTACTGTAATACAATAAATAAAATGTTTTGATCCCGCATACTATTTACCTTGAGGTTCATATACAATTTCTTCAAAATACACGATCTCAGGTTCAGAAACATACTCGTTATTTTTTTCGGCTTGTTCAACACCTGCACCTAAGTTATGAAATAAAATATGTGATTAAAACAAATTAAAACCAAAAATTACTCCCAACTGTAATGTTAGCACATGCCCTTAATTTGTGTGCTATAGGCGATCCATTAATTACGTAACGCTCTAAGCGAGGAGGTGGATTTGGAATTATGTTACTAAATAATATATAAGACACAAAAGCCTCACGAAACCTTGGCTTCATTTTTCGGGTAGCAAAAGAGTTCCAAGATGTATACTGCATGAAATCACTTTATTGCTCCCTGGTACGAACGAGATTGGAATATGCTTCTCCAGTTAAGAACCCTCATTTCCAAAATGGTGTTGAACGAATCGAGTCGGTGCAGCGACGTTTTATCAGATACGCTCTACGAAGATTGCCTTGGAGGGATCCCTTTAATCTACGGAGCTACGAGAGCGGTTGCCTCATGATCCACCTGGACCCCCTCCAAACACGACGTGAGGTGGCTAAGGCACTTGTCATCGCTGATATTCTAACTGACCGTATGGATTGTCCTGCCCTGCTCGGCAACATTAATGTTCAAGCTCGCTCCCGTGTGCTTTGAGGCAACTCTATTCTAAGGATCCCACTCAGGAGAACTAACTATGCCGCGAATTCCAGGCTAATCGCCCTCCAACGGACGTTCAACCGAGTCTCCTCAGTTTTTGATTTTGACATGTCACGCGACTCTCTTCTACGACAATTTTTGTTAGCTTTAAGATAACTTTTTATCATTTGGACACCAAACTAGTATGTTGATAACATACAATAAATAAAGAAATAAATAAATAAGATAGCGAGCAATGAAAGAGAGGAGAGGTGTTAATGTTTTCACAATTTCACGGAACATAGTTAATGGATCACCCCCTGCTGGAATATTGAAATTTGAACATACCTTCAGATTCATACATAATTTCGTCTAAATATTCGATTATCTCACTGTCCGTCCCATCAGTAGCAAAATGGAGCGGATCTAATTCCGTGTCACGCAGCGTATGCTCAAAGTCTAAAATACAAATATTATAATGATCTTACTAAATCCTTCTTCTTAACATACCTTGTACAATATCAGCTGTTGAATTCATAAACGGTCGTTTAACTGGACTTTCGTCTTCGCCAGTAATATCTGGTGTGATGCTACGACGCTTCCTACCAGATGAATGTGGCAGCTGGATGTGAAATGTTTCGCAGTGTCGTTTAAATGCGAACATATGCCAGCTTCCTGTTGTGTCCATATTGAGTGATATTTTCGATTGCTTACTTTCAACGCAAATTGGACACGTGACATAAGCTTGGATTTTATTGCCCGCAGTGTAAACTTCCACACGAAGATCTTGTAGTTTAACCAAAAAATCATCAAAAATTTTGTCTTGACCTTTTCTGAAAAGAAAATTAGTTCAACAACTTTTAGTTTGAAAGCTATAGGAGCATTAAAACCAATACTTACCGCGAGGAAAAATAGAGCAAAATTTTCGTTTGTAATTTTCGGGCATGTAACTCCATTTCAACGTCCTTATCACTTGGATCACCGTCATTATTGGACATATCGGATGGTGGCTGAGCATTTCTTATCTGCCGTTGATTTTGTCGCTTGGCTCTCTTTAAAAAATGGTTGACTCCACGATTGTTCATAATGCCTGCCAGATCCAGCAAACACAACGTTTCTCCTTCCATGAATTTGAAGTTTTCTGGATGCGATGCAAATTTTCTCCCGTAAATATCTTTCAGGGGCATTCCACCCGCTAGTGCTTCTTCTCTCAGGCAATCAGCCATACCGCGCATGTCTTCCTCTATAATTTTAATGTTGTCGCTTGTCAGCCTCCCAAGAGACTGACTGCACAGATTTTGAATTGTGAGGATATTTTTTAGATGGAAGTTTACCGCACCGTACTCTTCCTCCAGCTTACTCCAGAAAAAATTCTAAAACCGGAGGAGATACGGAAACATGTGATATTATTTGAAGGAAACTATTTTTAGTCAGTTACTTACCACATCTATGTTGGAATGTTCCATTTTAATGAATAAATACCGTTAGCTTGGAAACAATGTGTCTAGCGAAAAGAATTCGATTCACGTTTGTTTACGTACACGCAACATCAATTACCGTTGTCAATAGCAACCCAGGCAGTGCTCCCGGTTTATTTTAATTATAATCTGATACATACGAAAACGTGCCGGTAATGTGCCCCAACTATGCAAAATCTATTTTCGGCACATTGTGCTGAGTGACTAACCCCTTGGCATTAACCCTAATTATAGTTTTCAAACCTTATAAAAAAATAAAAAGGTGAATAACTAACCTTATCCTTTATGTCCTGTCGATTCAGCTCGGTGGCAGTATTAACCTCCAAATTCTGCCTCCGTTTTGGGCGTTTCGAAGGTGGGTTTTCTATAAATGAAAAAAACATTGTCAGTCTGTTTCTGCAGGCAAAACGCGCAAAAATCGTGGCCAAAGGAATTCCAATGGCGACTGTTTCATCGTTTTGTTTTACGATGAAACAGACTATATTGATTAAAAATATTAAATTATTGCTTACCTCGCTGCGGCTGCTTGGCTCTGAGTTGTGTTCCTCGCTTCGGATGAGGTTTTTGGTTCATCTTTGAATTTTTTTTTTCTGAACGCCGACGACGATGGAAACGCGACTTTTCACTTCACGCGTCGAAAAAATAAGACCGTGTCGTCTGCCGTGATGCCAAATTTATTTGATGTGTTACTAACACACTGAAACATTTGTACACAAAATTGTGTAATAGTGTATGTGACATGCACTTCAACCATAACCGGCCTTTTACACGCGAACCCAAGTACGCACACGTAAACCAACAACATCATCGGATGGGGAAAATTTTCCCCTTTCCTATAGTTGTATTGGTTTGCGTGGGCGTAGTTCGGTTCGCATGTAAAGGGCCTTACAACTTTTGTATACAAAAGTTTTTGTGCCGTTTTCAAATGTTACCGCTGAAATGCAGATGTATAGTGATAATATTTTAGAAAAGTGTACACACACTAGAAAAAAAAGATAACATATGTAATTCAACATATTATGCGGAATGAATTATATACAAACAAGGAAAAATTGTTGCTTAAATTAAAAAAACCATTGATATAATTAAAAGTTTGCATTGGTTCTTTTTGGTAGAAAGCAGTTAGCTTTCAAAACGAAAGTCAATCAAATGTCAATTCAAAAGTTTTCCGGCCATTAATTTTAAAAGTTTAAACTTTCAAAACGAATTGTACTACTGTCAAATGAAAAGCCAGACAGTGTTGAAAGAAAAATATATTTTTTTCTAATTCAAATCAAACTTTTAAAATGACCTGTGGTATTTTCAATCGTAAAATTAAATATTTTCAGAAAAAAAAAACAGCATTTTCAATTTAATCACGTCGCTTTACATTTTAAATTCTAATATATGTTTTTATTTGGTTAAAACAATCCAGAAATATTTTTATCACTTGACATAAACAACAATAACAATAAATCATTATGACTACCCGATTTTCAAAGACGTCGTGCCGGTGGGCTGCTTCCTTCCGGACATCAGTCATTGATTCGGCAAAGGGGGAACTATTTGATTTGATGCGCTATTTGTTGTTGAAAAACTGAGGCAAATTTGTGATTACTGCTGTATTCCCATCACCGGGTTGATCACGTTCATGATAAATCCTCCATCACGCACAAGGGGAACAGAACAGGCATCTTTAGGGTGACGTAAGAAAATCTGTGGTGGAATTATTCGAATAGGCTTGAACAACTCTTGAGGTAATGTCCTGGATAATGCAATGCATGATAATTACCTGGATACTAGATGAATTCAATCCGTTGAGTCAAGTTTGTCCAAATCTGGTGCCCTGAACTATGATGAAGTCCAACATTGGCCCTGCGAAACATCTTCAAGAATGTCGGAAGCTGAAAGCAAAAATCTGCATCCCGGCTAGCTTTCCGGTTCCAGTTCTGCAGAAATAAAATGAATGAAAACTGTGTATGCGATCATTCCTAAAATTTCTCACCTTAATGATTTTCTGCCTGGTAAATCTGGTGGAAGCTGGGGTGGAAGCAAAGTGAGTGAAGTGTAAATTCCATTCAATGGAAAACTGCTCCGCCTTGTTTTGTGTCGCTCGTCAAATTTAGCGCCAAACTGAAGTCCAGTGCTGCCAAAAACATCGTAATGAAGAGGTATTTTTGACAGTTCAACAACTTTTATTTAAAAAAAT